GGTAATGATCATTAATTCTTTTTGTCAGCTTAATACCATGGCCGTCCGACGATCGGTACCAGATATCCTACGTTAATTATGCTACTGAGATATTCCCACACTTAGGTGCAGCTGTGTCAGGCCCTTTCGTCTTAAAAATCACCAATTTGAAAAAAAGTAATTCACAGGATTTTTTTTTCGTAGCTGCTTCATATTCACTAAATTTAAAATTGGCAAATTTCGGAATTTGTGCATGAATAAGTGAATTGTAGTTCCTTTTAAGGCTTAAAATTTCGCCAGAACCGTGTAACTAAAAAATTTGCCGAGAATTTTGTTATAATATCGATATCGATTGCTAAACAGAATTGCTAGTAACATGGTCGTATGTAAATTTATTAACTCTTACAGGGGATCTAAGAAAGTCGCTTCCAATATTCATGACATTTCAGCTATACTTGTGTTCCTGCCGCAAATGACCCAAAACAAGGTTTGTGTTGTTCAGTTGAAAAACCAGTGCAACAAATGCCAGTATGTCCGGGTCAGCAAAAACTTCTCAAGGTTTGCTGTTTTTAGAATTTTTTATCACAAAATACAAGCTCTACACATTTGTTCCAAAACACTGTGGCTTGAAGTCTAGTAAGAAGCCAGCAACTGTTAGAGGCTGTACTTCATTGAGTGCAGCAACCAAAGAGGCGGTATAAAGGATATGTATGGGAGTGACATACGTGCAGAATATAAGTGCTCCAGGATTTGCTTAAAGTATAAGGGCAAATGGTCCAGTGGTTGAGCAGTAAAGTCCGGATGTGAAAACGAATGATTCATTCGGTCCAGGCCGAATTCATTTGTTAGGGAGTCTCCGTTCGTGAGAGTATCAACATGAGCAACACAAACGGTAAAATCCCAAATGTAAAAAAAGAGCGCATAAAAAAACAAATTACTAACAATTAATTACAAAAGAATCACTTTCATAACATTCTTGAATGCTTGAAACTACTACTATTTCGACACTGATTCATAATCGGGATGTTCTTTAATGATGTTGCTTTCTCTGCAGCATAGTTGCTTTAAAAAAAAAAAAAAAAACTTCAACCGAATAACTTTTAAAAAACTACAGAATTATTTTTGTTCAAAAAATCACTCGTTGAAGTTTTAAATACTAGATTCTTATAATATATGTCAAGTTCTGATAAAAATCCGCTAGGCAGAACGTGTTGCTTGCTTTGCCGACAATGGTGGATGTTGCTCATTAGTGAGTGGTTCCAGCGAGAAAGGAAATGACCATTCGATTAAACCCCGGCAAAGTGGCACACACGTCAAATGGAAAGTGGGTACTGACTTGGAAGTATGCAGCCCAGGATCGGAGGGCCTGGCATAGCTGCCCGCGGCATATGAGTGCATCCCAGTAACATCACTAACATAGGATATCCTCACCGACAACCGAGTGGTCTTGGGATTCTTGGTATTAGCTGATTTTTATAGTTTCGAACTGATATATTGATCAAGTGCATCTTTAATCATCTGTGTCACCTGGAAATCAACTTTCTGACAGTTCTAATGTCCGGTTCTTGCCTCAAAATTATTTCATATATATCATACATAAAAGAATAGATAAATGAAATATAAAAATATATTTTTAGTGATTGTTGATGTAAATAATAAAATTACAAAAGACTGATATTAAGTTAAATAACTGAGAAGGAATGATGTTTCAATATAATAGTTCGTATCCATTCCTTGTAAAATGTCAAGTCCATTTAATACTGTAATTTCGTGTACTAAATTTCATCATCACTGGAACTTTTCGATCAAAAATGTAATCGGCATAAAAAAATTTTAGTCTGGCACCGAACCGCAGTACTGCAGTCCGAATGAACCAGTTCCATGTCCCGAAAAATACGATTGCCGTGCAGCATCCAATTTACCGGATACATATGTCTGTTGCAGTGCACCATCAGCGATTGCATGTCCTCCGAATTTTACACCAAGTCGAAGTGTAAATGGTAGTGAGGTATGCAAAATAATAGACCTGTTAAAAATGCTGAATTACACCCCAAGTGTAAAATATTTGAAAAACAGTTAATAAGTTGGTCCTAAAAATTTTGACAATATTTGAGGCTTAATTTCAAAGACTCATAATTAGTCATTTAGAATCTCCTTCTCCCGAACGTGGTCTAGGAGTAATACAGTCTGAACAAGGTGTTCTTGCTTCGTGCAAAACAAGAATTATTTTAAAATGGCTAAAACCTCACAGAATGCTTTTGTTAGAAGAACCACTGAGTTGGCATCCTTTCAAGCGACGAAATGGGCGTCAGAATCGTCAGCAGGCTGACTACTGCGCGATGCAACATCGGCCTGATCAACTTAGAAAAATTGTCAACTGCATGGTTGTAAAGCTAGCTAATTCAAGTATTCCAAGTGAAAGTTACTTGATACTTGAGATAAGTCAAAGTTCACCAATGTATATGTATTCATAATCAGTTTACTGCTTGCGCTGTTCTCTTTCCCTTCATCTCACAGTTTTTTGACACTGCTGACATCGCCGAGTGGTCAATTTTCTATAGCCAAAAGTAGCCTGCGTAGAAGCCTGAATGTATAAGCATAAAAAACTGAATTACTGCGTATGGCTTCTTCTTAGCAACAGGTTAGCTTGTTCATTTAACATGTTAGCTTGATCAAAATGTTTGCTTTTTCGAAACACCAAATGAAACATAAACTCCCTCATTTTAATAGATTCCCGATTCCTTTGTGTATCAAGTTAACAGTTGATTCCGATTAAACGCATGAAACAGCGGGTTCGCTGGTTTAACTCAAGTTTTTTGAGGGCTTCTTAAACCCTAGTTAAGCCAGCTCAGTTTCTAATTGATAAAGCGTTTTCTTCAACAATTTCT